TATGACTGTTACCACATTTAACTGCTAGTATAACAGGACTGATTGGACTTCAGGAACGGAATATATTTGTTCTAACCCACGTGAATACTTCCCCTCTAACAGCAGCTCCTTAAAACAGCACATTGGCTGTAGGCCAGGTGAAGGAGAGCTTTTGCTGTCATAGTAGGCCGGCTGCTTTCTTTACAGAAAACGAGCTTTTGCCCTCTGACAGTCCGTCTGTGTATAGAGCAGTGTTTGCTTTCTGTAATGTCAGTGAGAGGTACAGTTGAGCAGGAAAATCGTGCTCTGAGTGGCTTCTCCATAGACTGCTCCTTGCCAACTTGGATTATGCTTTAATATTTTATTTTTTCCCATTACTTTGTCAAGCCTGCAGGAAATGCACCATTTCCATTATTTCCAGAACTTCACTTGCACTTAGTGTGCGAAGTCTTTGAATCCACAGGATCAAATCAAAGCTACTCCTTTTGACCATCCAAATTACAAACACATTGACTGTGATGCATTATTTTAGAATTGGCTGTTAAAATTTAAAAGTATTTCCAAAAATTTTTAATAATTCCCTAAAGCAATCTAAGGACATCTATTAATGTATTGAATTTCCTTAAAGACAGCACTGATTGGGATTGCTTCAGCTGCAAATTAAGGTTGTCAGTCAAAGTGTTTTTTCTGTTTTAGCCTCTGATCTAGTTTTTAGCATCTCTTCCAAAGTGAGCCAAAGACAGACAGCTAGTGAGCTGTTAGGGCTTGTTTTGCCCTGTGTTTAACCTAGCAAACAATCAGTCAATACCTTTTGCGAAGTCTTCTATATTTTACTGGATACCTCACTGCTTAGTGGGGAAATAAGCTACACTGTTTTGATGTATTTTTGCACTTTTCACATTCTTTATTCTGCGGCATGGTGTCCAACATTTTAATACATTGAGTAGCTGTGGCAACTTCTTTTGTGTGTCTACAGACATTTGCGTTGCTGTCAAGCCATTGGGTCTGCTAATGAGGGGCTGGAGTACGAGACAGAATGATGTATTTGCTATGTAGCATTTCCTGCAGAGATTAATAGTAGATTCACGGTGTGGGCTGGAAGTAGATAACCAGCCCAAGAGTCCTTAAAAGATCCCAGCCTTACCTGCCCCCAAAAATGGAGCTGCAGCCCAGAGCAGGGTGGGATCCTCCATTGGTCTCCTGCAAGGAAAATGCTTGAAATAAAGAAGCAGCAAACAGGAAAACATGCAGAAGGGGAAAAAAAAAGAAAAACAAAAAACCCGAAGAAAACCGTCCTACTCCCATCAGTGTCTCTACCTCAGTCTCTCCAGCCAAATGATCAAAGGAACCACTGGAAAGAATAACATAAAATAGTGTTGGAAGGGAGGTGAGCACTGATTATATTTAGTAAGTTCCATTGAAGTTAACTCAAGCTGTCGTCCAGTGCAGTGCAGTGGGGTGGCTAAGCTGGACGTGAACTGGGACTCTGCTAACACAACACAGTTAATAGAGGGCTGCTGTAAAGAGGTTAAAGTCGTAACAGCCAAGCCTAGGCATAAAGGGCAAGTCAGTGTGGCACATGGGCTGGGAGCAACATCTGCTCTTGCAAAGAGAGGTGTGAGGAAACCTTATTGTCCTGTTTGTGATGAGAGGAAGAAGAACAAATGACAGAGAAAGAGATTTCTCAGTAGACCCGATAGCATGCAGAGTGAAATATGTGGGTTATTGTATAAGTGGTGATATCAGGTGTATTTTATCTCAAACGTACTTTTCTGAAGAATTGGGTTGAACCTTTTGGAGAGAAACAGGTAGACAAAGAGAAAAATATTATTTTCCCTACTTTTCTGAACCCAGAAAAATACTCAATCCAGCTTTCCATTCACTTCTATTTTCTTTGCATCACCCCCGAGAGTAAAATACAGTTATTTCTTTAATATTATTTATCTGGGAAGATTTAGAACTGGATTGTTGCATATTACACTTCAGAAAGTGTGGTGTGCCTCATACTTACAGTATTACAATCAGTTAGACATGCTTATTTATTGCATGTTGATATTCTAACTCTATCAAGTGTTATGACTGTTTATGAGAATATTACTTCACTACATAATTATTTTTATTTTGGTGATGATGTCACCTTGATCTAGATTTCCACTTGGTGATGTTCATCAGAATACTTCATTTTGTGTTATGATAACATGGAAGCATAAGAGAAGTGAAAGAATTTGTCTTTTCAGTTGTAATTAAAGGAAGCTGACATCATCATCAAGCTTGCAACAGAGGAAACATTTTTTTAAATGTTCGGTGTGTAAAAGAGTGAGTGTTGTTACCTTTGTAAACAGAAAATGATGGACAGAAAATCTGCAGAATTTTCAGCAAAAGGGAGTAATTTTTTCAACTCTTTTTCATTTCTTAATGGAAGAAGAATTATGGAAATGAGAGCAGCATTGCATTAAGTGCTTGAAATGTTCCTTCCCTGCAGACCAATAAAAACATAACTTTTCCATTAGGGAAATTTAGTTTTTTTGAAGGCTGCATGAATCTGAGCTCTGAATCAGTGAATGAGATGACTATGCTAGGGTAAGCGTTTCAAGGTCTGATTATGTATTTTAAGTCTTTCGTAGGTGGATATCAGCTCTTAACTTGTCTTGTAAGACTTCGGAGCAACTTCTTCTGTGACTCTTTTTGTGTTAACCACTTGGCTTATCTTGTAGTACTTCTGTGGTGCAATCTCCCGTTATGCAGATCAGTAACAGAGCTTCAAAGCCATGGGGATTGAATGATTTTTCCTACCTGAATTTGGACTAGAATGTTTCCTGGCCTTTTCAATTTCTCTAACTACTTGCATAACTCCATAAACAAAACTCAAATGGTGCAAGTCAAAAATGTGACCTTTCTGTGCTTCATAAGGCATGTTTATATTGGTTATAGTTGCACCTATGACTATAGATTATGCAGATTGTAGTTACCTGCCTTTAAAAATATCCTTCTCTAAGTGCAAGATGAAAATTTAGCAGTAAACTGCTGTCTCTGATGGTGTTCAAATTAGGTCCCTGATCAGAGCTGTGGAGAATTAATACCAGAGCAAGTGGGTATTCAAGTGAAGCCAGCTTTTTTTTTTTTCCTGTGCTGTTAACCATAAAATCGTAATCAACATTAATTTCCAAGTTCTAGAAGGTCACAAATAATAAAAATTAATAAAACCCAGCAAAATCATTCCAATCACTACCACTATCCCTTACTTCTGACTTATTAATTATATTTCAGTTTCATATACTACATTACTTAGGCTGTCAAACACATGACAGAGGTATATAAGTATGATTTGTCCTCATTTAGTGTAGGAGGAGACAGAGACACCAAGAGATTCTGAAACTTGACCAAGGTCTGAAAATGATTAAGTGGAATTCTTTCTTTTAATTATTTTTATTTAGTTGTAAATAGTCTGAATGTAGCCATAGCGCTGTTGTTACAATTGATCAGATAAATCCCATTTCCCCCTTTTTTGCTTAACAGCTGATCCCATTGGTGCATGCAGCACAAATAGTTAAGGCAACAAATGAAATTATTGTGAATATTTGGTCACATGTGGGGCTGGTTTTGTTTGAGTTTTTTGAGGTTTGTTTTCTGCAAACGCTGCTGGGAATCATTTACTTACCACTAGAAGTGTTCCTTAAGCTCCAGTCCATCACAGGACTCCCATGAGTGCATTCCTGTGCTCCTGTTATGTTTCCCATGCAGACAACCTAGTCCTTCTGCCATGATCCAGAAAATGGCATCTATGCAAATATTAGTTATGTTCCTTATAAATTCAGGAGGCAAGGAGAACGTGCCTGGCCCACATGATCCTCTATCCCCATCCTGATTATTCATTCTTAATGGGAAGATTTTGAAACACTGGAAAAAGACTTTGGTGGAGGAAGCACATGGAGAAAAAAATTTTCAACTACTTCCTGATTTTCTTGCTATTTTATCCCCTCTACCAATCATCAGTTGACGAGTTTAATCAGCTGCCCACTTTAGACATTATGAAGAGATACTGACAGTGAATTTCCACCTCACACATTAGATTTTTGGCTGATTTAAGTTGGGGTCACCCTGTGCTAGTGCCATAGGTGCCTAATAGCCCCTGAGAAACCAACCGTGTGCACTGGGACTGCCTGTAGAAAACATGAGTTCCCAGGTGCCTTGGATATGTTTGCACACAGAAGGAGCCAGATGGTTTTCTCTGCAGGTTTTCTTTGGCTTAGCTCTGCAGGAGAAATACCCGAGATGGATGCTGCCAGGTAGCAGTGTGGCTCCTATGTGTTAACAGCTGCTCTAGCTCTTCTCTCAGAGATACGCTTAAAGCATAAAAATGAAAAATGGGTACAAATCTTTGTGGTCAAGTGGGGAGTGGGGAAGACTTTATGTCTTGTGTACCTCCAGACCCAATGGGATGGGTCTGGTCCCAAGGTGGCGTCCCAGTCTGGAATGTGATGGTGGTACATGCCAGGTGGTTCATAAGGACTTTGAGATCAAAGGCACTTTCTGCACGTTAATAAGGTTTTCTTGCTCACAGCCCTTGGGCATGGCTCACTCAGGTGACCCTGTGGTAGCAGACACAGTCACCCGTTGGAGTCATCCGAAGCTGTGTGTAATATTGCAGATTTGACTCTGAAATGCTCTGCTGCAGTCAGATACCCTCCCAAAACACCATGACCTTTGGGAAGTTTAGGTCAGATCCCGTATTGCCTGCACATTTTAAAATAACAGGTTGGTTGGTTGTACTGGCAATAAAGCTAACCACCCCTAAAACAAGGCTAGTCTCTGGGACGTTATCTGGGCCAGAGGTGTGGAGTCTGGTTTTGTCCTGGGCAATAAAAATTAATGCAGGGTAGCCTGCACCTCAACCACACACCCAACCTTGGGGACATTAGCAGCAGCCCAGCAGCGTTAGGCAAAGCTCTGGGTGTCTCAAGTAGGCTAGTCTTGGGCAGCCATCCACATCTCACGTGCTTTCTCTCGTGGTCTCATTCCAGGGCAACCCACTGTACTTCCAGTCTGCCAGAAATGTGACAGTGAACATCCTCAATGAGAAGACTAAAGTCCTTACTCGCCTTGTAACAGGTAAGGAGGGGGAAAGGCTGTGTGGAAGAATTAAGGAGAGATGAAAGCAGGTGTGCTGTGGGATGCTGCGTGGCTTTAGACAGCACACAGGAGGGGAGCCCAGGTGTCTTGTGAAGTACAAATGAAAACTTTGCTCCACTTTGTAGAAACAAAGCTAGAGACATGAAAGCCATGCTGGAGAGGCAGCTGGCGGGTCTTTCTGATAACGAAGCAGACCATCGTTTTCGCTTGAAAGCCAATGCAGAGACAGAAAGGTTAGTTGTACGACTTCAGGGTCAAGAAGAACATATTCAGGCTGACATTTCTGTTGTAACAGGCACAGGCTTTTCCTGAGACACTTTTAACTTTTCTAAGGTCTTGGGAACTCTGCAGATTAACTGTGGCTGGGTTGGGACACTTTGCAATTCAGGGCTCGCTGTGCCCTTCTGCTGATGAAGAACACTCTCATGCTCCCAAGCATGAGTGTGTTTGATGGGGAAATGGGTGTTTCATAAATCCTCAGTGCACAGCAGCCTTTGAATGAATGCATGCATAATTTGGGTTAAAAGAGCCTAATGCATTATATATGGTAGTATATAATATATATATGATATAGGATAGATATTTATTTATTTGTTGAGATTTATCTAGGGACTGGGAGAAGTATTGCTGCGTGGCAGAGCCAGTAATCCATAAACATGTTGTTTCTACGTGAGACTGGGTTGTTTGGCTTGCTTATATAACATCTTGGCCTCTAGTCACAGTACTAAATAATTAAATATGCAGCTTCAGTAAGCAATGATTTAAGCAGAATGCATGAAAATTGCCTGGAGGAAGGAAATAAATTCAACCCCAAGCTCCCTGATTCTCACATTCAGAATGAACCTATTTAGTTTGCTGGTTCTCCATATATTTTCAAGAGGGTATTTGGCTCACTTAAGAACTTCCATGTCACAACAGCTTGGGAGGACGCAGTCAGTGATGTCTCCTGACGCGATGTTCAGGTTACTGAGCTCGTTTCTGCATTCGGCAGCAGCTTTGGTTTCAGAGCAAAGTGAAGACGTGGTTCTGCATAGTGCATGCTGCAGTGATGAGTAGGGAGGTAGTTAATTAGCAAGATACAAATCCAACTTAAAGCTCGAAAGTACTGGATTTTCTCAGAATGGCTGCAAGATTTTTAAGTGTTCCCAGTGATCTCAGCATAGCCTCACTTTTCTGTAGTGTGAACTACACACGTGATTCTTTGTGTGACCTGATGCCGATACAGATGACCCGTGCAGGCAAACGTGGGTGTAGATGGAGTTAGAAACTGCCTATAAGAAAATACAGGCTTTTCGGTCTTATTTCTCTTGTCTTTTGAGAAATAAGACTAGTCAAGAAGATGGATAGAATTAATGCAAAGACCAATCACCTGCCTTGCGCAGTAGCATATTCCAGGGAGGCTGTGGCTTGGACTGAGTTGCACAGGGCTGTCAGATGGTGATTTGTCCGAAGTTTAGCCTAGGTCAGTAACTGAGGGGTCTGCTCTTTGTAGCCTTTGAGCTACAGACCTGCACAGGATTGCTATTCAGGCAGCTGATGTTTATCAGGCTCCACAACAAAACGCATTGCCAGAGGCTTTTCAGCACAGTGTGCACAGCAGCCTGCAGGAGAAGCAGCAGAATTGAAACAAGGGCTACGAAGGAAAGTTTTACTCATCTAAAAACTTTCTGAAACATGGGGGATACTGCCACTAGTCTTCGCCTGCATGTGGTTGAAATGGTCTAAAAGAAAACATTTGCTCCTGTGGTAGTGTTTGTCTTTTTTTGTCTTTTTTATTTCTTTTCTGGTTTTTTGGGGGTTTTTTTGTTTTGTTTTGTTTTGTTTTGTTTTGTTTTGTTTTAATTAGACTGTGCATGACACTGATACCATTTTAATCCAGGTGTATTTAACAGGCAGAAAACCAGGAATCTTTTACACCACAGCATCAATCCAAGCAAAATGGACTCAGGAACTCTTGATGCCTCTAATAGCTGCACCAATAATCTCAAAGAATGTCTAGGTATATTCACTGCTATTTCACATGGGGGCCTGTCTTGTAAAACTTTCGCAGCTATGTCAAGTTTAATGGTGATTTTATGACATACATAAGTATTAACAAAAACATGAGTAGAAATATTGAGAGGTTGTTATTTGGGTAGAAAACAGTGCCCTTTTCTAATGAGAGGTCACCTTCTGAAAAGCACAGACCTCCCTGTTTGATGTGTCAGATGCAGGTTGTATCTTCAGAGCAATTAGGATAATGTCAGCAGATGGGTTTATTAAATGTATGAAGCTACTGTGTGATTTTCTTACACATTTCACTAAAAGGCTGGGCTAAATCTTTTCTTCTCTCTAGGTCCCCAAGCAGTGGAAGCACACAGCCAAAAATTTGAGGTGAAAACCCTCTCTGGAAAATTGCTGTTTTCTGCGGATGACAACGAAGTGGTGGTTGGAGCAGAGAGATTGAGAGTTTTAGGTAAAAGATTATTCGCTAAATCACTGTTTAATATGCGCCTCTTCAAATTTTAGTATAGTTTTGCCTGACTTTCCTGCATGCTTGCGGAAAGCTTCTTTTGGAGATAAAAGCCTTTCGCTGTCTTTACTGCTTTGAAACTTCCCCAAGCAGATAAGGGCCAAAAGTTGCTGTCTGAGGGGTTTCTTATTTTGCACAATATGTTATTTCCCCTCCAGAAAAAACTCCCCTGGAAGTGGTTTGTCTGGCCTGGTGAAGTATCTTTAAAACTACCTTTGAAAACTGAGCAGCTTTATCTCTTGGGTCTGGGATGAAGGACAGTGAGGGATCGCTCTAAGGATGCTTCCATGGCTGCAGTCACTGTGTATAGGGAAACCTCAGGCTGTTTTTGATCACAGCAATTTCACCAGCTCCTCTTTCATTCTAAAGCAAACACCAAGGAGGAGACCTGCAGTGAAAAAGTCAACATGAATTAGGACCCCATATTAATACTCTGAAGAGTCTGGTGACCTTTATATTAGCTGTTTTTCCTTAGCCTCACGCAAGAGCACGTTGTGCATCTCTGAGCTGTCTTCAGCTATGTTGTGGGTAGGGTTAAGTGTCCTGTGCAGGGCAGGAGAGGCCAACCTTACCAATGCCACTACTTCCCCATCTGCATTTTGATATGGACAGGGCAGCTTGAGCTCTCCTTTTGCCTGCGCAGGATCTGCCTCCCCAGCTGTCCTGCCTGCTAGGCTTTGCATCGGTAGTTCCTAATAAAAACTGGGGATAGACTTTGGCTTTGGGGAGTGGACGTTGTTTATTGTTTGTTTGGATTTTATTTTTACTTACAGAAAAGAAACAGTAACAGTAATTGTAAAATTTTAAAATGTATTTGATAGTTATATGAAATTACCTCTTAGGAACTTGAATTCTCTTGCTCTCCAGTTCAGTCCATGCTCTTTGGTTAGTCTAAGATTTGCTTGTGAATGTTTTCATGTAGGACCAGACTAGGTAGCTCAGTATTGCTAGCAGTTAGTCACGTAACAGTGCCACTGGTGCCTGTGGATGCACCGATACCTGTTTTCTAATGGCTTGATTTGGATGCATCCATTCACTCCAAATTGTTCCTTACTTCTCTAATAAGCTCCTAAAAACAGAGAGATCAATGAAGGAGTTTAGAATGATACATATTATTTTTTATTACTATTATTTCTACATGTTGCATTGCGTATTACTAGTATATTACGCATAATCTAAAGGAGCTTAAAATGAGTGCCTCAGAGTCAAACCATCATGAATCCAAACCTCAACATTTTTTGTTACCTGATGTCACGCTCTTCTAGATGGTTCCTGTTTGTAGACAGCCCAGGTGTAGCCCTTTGCAAGTCACTGTTGTTACATACTGGACTAGTTCAATCACCAGCTATACAAAGTTACGTGAGTTTTATAAGATAAATGTTGAACTTCACAAGAATAACAGCATCTTTTTTAGCTTAAAACTTTGAAAAGAACCATTCTTGCAGTGTTACGGAGCTGGGGAACATTTGTCATAATCCATGTTCTACCGCAAATCTCCCTTCACGCGGCACCCTTCAGAGCCAATTAATTGCACAGTCCTTGTGCAGGGTAGATGACATCAGGAAGCAACAATTTTAAAGTTTCTTCTTGGAGACCTTAAAATGAGAGAGATTTATTTCATTAGTTCTTCAAAAAAAAAATACAGAAACTTTTCCTTACAAGTTGCGAGTACTCCTTTTCAGATTCATGCTTGCAAAAATACTGCTTTTTATTTACTTTGTACTTTGGAGAAACTAGCAATTATTTTTTATAGTAATTTTAAGTTTCTGCCTTGTTTTAGTCTCCAGAATAAACAGCATCAAAAATATTGCTAACCATTGTACTGCACTTTCATTTTTATCTGCAACTGAGCGTTTCTTGGGGTTTATTTGGCTTATGCAGATCTACCAGAAAAGAAAAGGTAGAACGATACCACTGGTGATGTTACACAGCAAATATTTCAATGACCTTGAGCTGAAATGCTTTCAGAGTTCATGCTTGGCTTTGTTTTTCTCCAGCTTTGCTTCCCCAATCTAGTTTTATCTCCAAAAGTGTTTGCCATGGCTGTTTGCCATGCTGGGAAGTGTTATACCATATGTTCGTATTTCTTCCAGTGTTTTTGTCTGCAGTTGAGACTAGTCCAACTTGTAGTACACAGACAAATTCCTTTGATCATTTTTCTGGTGTTTGGGATCTCAGGTGCTGTTGGTATGTGTCTGCTGACACCTATCTACACTATGTAAATAATCTCAACCTGTTCTTGTTATTGCTGAGCACGTATTTGTTATAGAAGGAGGTGTATGTCTGCAATCTGGCATGAAAGTCATCTCACAGAGGTTAGAGGAGCGGTTATTGGGCTCGTGGCTAGCTTTTAATCTTGTTAATGATAATTACTTTTTTCCTTTCTACACTCTTCAAATTTGATTCTAAAAGTTTGATTTACAAAGTAATGCTGAAGCCTTGTCATGAGAAAAGAAGTGGTTTCCTTTTTTGAAATGGACTCTGATATGGGTAGCTAAAGGGTTTTTCAACATTAGCAAGGCATTAAAAAAAGAGAGGAATGCACAGAATTACAGATAAAAACCAAATACAAGTAGGGCGTGCTGCTTTTGATGGTGCGTCAAAAAACTGCACAGCATGGGTAGTGCAGATTACCAATAAAAGTGCTTTTTATTTTAATTGTATTTGGGGAGTTATTTCTGATTTATAACCATTGAAGGACAGAGAAAGACAGAGTGGATCCCCTCTGCTTTTCATGCATGAAGTAATGCAGAGAACTTCAATGATGTTATTCGATTTAGTGAATCCAGTCAAACCTGTCATCATAGGAGAGACTGGAGGATAACAGTAACTTTTGTTTGACGACAAGGGCAGCCCCTCTGAGCCCTTTGGCCAGTCAGCTCTGATATCTACACAACCTTTTCTGGACACAAGCATGAATTCCCTCTGCCTTGCTCAAAGCCAGCCAGGAGCTCAGCAGCTGCGTTGGTCCAGATGACTCAGAAGAAGCTGATGTTTGCCTGCAAAAAGTCATGTAGAAACAGAGCCTTATGCTGAATGTGGTCTGCCCTTTTTCTTCCAAGCTCATCTACCAGTGCCTGCAGTTGCCCCGCCATCTCCTCCACTCTCGTGGTGGGATCGGATGGCAGCACATCCTCACTCTTAGCACCCCTTTCTTCTACAAGCTTCACTCCTGTAGTATTTGAGCATCTCATGGTCTTTTAAAAGATACAACAGCAAACTTCAGAGCCATTCTCATTCCTCAGAGCTGTGACTCTGGTTTTGCAAGGCTCAGATTTTGAAGGCAAAATCTGCTACTTCTCTTCCTGTTAAACGGCACCGTGGTGCTGCTCCTGGGGTTGTGCATGGGGTAAAGTGCAAACCTTCCCTGCGCTGATCGTTGCCATGGTCAGCAGCGCTCTTTGGCAAACACCACGCAGACGCAAGCTAACGCCTCACTGGATGGCCCCCGTGGGCTCATAAACACACAGTCTGCATCATGGGAGATGAATGAGCTGGTCCTAATTGAATTCATATGTGATGCGTCATACAGCAGTTCCCCTTCCCCTCTTCTCCCTCCCTCCAGAAATGAAACATGTTCAGACTGCCTGAAAAATGATGTGTAAGAAATGCTCTTTAGTTAAAAGAGCATTAAAAAATAACTTTGATATATATTAATTACCTATTTCATTTAACAGCATATTGAACGTTAAAGCATTTATAAACAAAAGACAATCATAAAGCATTATTCTGACTGTTAATTAGCTCTATTTATTCTCCAGATTAGTTTTTAAATATGCCCTCTAGATGCCACTTGATACTAATTAACAGACTTACATTATTATCTCTATAGAAAAGCATTTTTAATTAAATCTAAAGCAATTTAAATTAGCATGAGTTTTTACAGAAATTAAACTCTGGTCAGATGCTTAATTTAGCCTTATAAGACAACATCTAATGACATGCCAGTGTCAGTTCTCCCAAGGGCCTTGACATCTTTTTTGGAGATTATTTTTTGAAGTTTGTTTTCAGGGAAACTTGCCAGTATACTCTGGTGTTTAATATTTATGATGGATTTAACCATTTTTTTTTAAGACTAAATATTGATGGGAATCCACAGGCATTGCAGTGAGCTGAGATAAAAACACAGAAGATGTGTTCCTGCAGCTTACAGGATTTCGCAGTCCCTGTTTTTGAGTGGTGGAGGAAGGTTTGTGTGGGAGGTAGGATTGCACGAGCTGGATGCTGTCCCATTATAAACCAACCGTGCTTTTTAACTACTCTTGAGATTACCATTTTTCATTGCAATAAGGATAGGATTAGCAGTAAAACCGTAAGGTCCCTTTTCTGTAATAGCAGCATACAGGGGTTGTTCCCAGATTGCTCCTACTCTGGGTCCCTGGAAAATGTGCCTCTCGCTTAGGCATTTACACTGCCATAGCATAAGCTTTTCTTCTAGTATAACCTAATGATAAAAATTTGGCTAAAGCCTTTCCCTGTGGAAAACCCTAACTATAATAGCTGTATTTAGAGTAGGGTAGGACGCCTTTCATCTCCCAGTATAAAAACTGCAGGAGCTTCTCTGCAGGAGATGTGTGACCCACCTGCCACACATTGCAGTCCTCCCCAGCTTCATGGCTGGCTAAAACATACCTTTGATCTTGCCAGCCCCTCGTGTGCCCTCCCTCCAAATATTTAGCCAGGAGCTCTGTTTCTACCTTGTAGCTTTTTTCCACTGTAGCATACTGCCTTTGGGCAGTGACCTGTGTGGAGCATGCAAATGCTGACCACAGGTTAGACTATTAGCAATGTTTGTTTGGGAACACTTTCTGTTCTAGTTTTGCTCCAGGTGCCTGGGAATGCACCTGAAAAGAGGTGTCAGGTGTTGAAATGTTATTGCAATTTATTAGTAAGTTTGGAGTAATTAATTCCAAGGCACATTTCCAGCATTTTGTTTATGAGCT